ACTTTCCCCTGTATTGTTTAATGTTTACATGTCTGATGTCAACCTTCAGCGATACCAAAACAGCACTATATGCTAATGACACAGCTTTTTTACTCGATAAAATACAAAGCAGTTTGTATTAATTTCAAAACTGGATCCGAAAATGGCGAGTAAAAATGACTGACACTGACAAATCGCAAGCTAAAATATTTACTTTGCTTCGACACTTGGTGAACTCTTCGAACAAAAACATGGTCATCTCATATTCAGCCAACAGCTACTAAAACTTACCCCAAAATTCCATAATTATATCCATTAATAAATTTTAAATCTTCCATCAAAATGAAATGTTTTGTTGTAAAAAGCTAATTTATAAATTAGTAATTCGATCTTCTCTGACTTATGTCTGCCCCATCTAGTACACCGCTGCTCCAAGCGATTTGAAATAATGCAAGTAGCAGAAAATAATTGTCTACGAATAATTATCAAAGCTCATTGGTTTATTCCAAAAACGCAAATTCATGAATAATTACAAATTGAATCTCTAGAACAATACATCAAAAATCTAACCACAAACTTCTTTTCCAATCTCTCAGCGTCATCTTACACTAATACATTCAAATTAGATAAATCAAAACAAAATTGCCTTATAGGTTGAGAATATTTAAAAGATATGTTCCGCCCACAATGCACATTTAATGAAATCGCAAATTGAATTCGATACATCTCATGGACGAGTTACCACCCTGCCTGATGACTGCGGAATCGTCCGAAAATGTTATGAATTATTATTTTTGGACTTCCTATAAAAATATAATTGTCCAATAATGTCGTTTTTCGTTAGTTTTTTGCAGATGTTTTTACAATAATTCAAAACCGTCGTCATGAATAATCGCTTTGTGGAAACTCCTTAAAGACCATCCCGCCGATAATAGATAACTAGTTCTTTAAGAAAAATGGGTACCGCCGTCTGTGCCCGTGCTGAAATTACCACAAATTCAGAGAATATTCATAATATACGTCTTTGCCATACCTCAAAAACTAAAATAATTTTAAAATATGTAAAAAAAATGATTGTAATATTTGTTAAATATATGACGTATTAGATCTAAAAAATGTTCCTTCAATTCTATCGCAATTTGTTCTGGATTCGGTGGTAGCCCCCCCCCCCACACACACACACTGGTTTTCTTCTGGTACCGGAATAGCAAGTCAAGAATGTTCCGAAGTTAAAGAAGGTACTAATGCAAATATCTACTTCTATTTACTTTTTGTTTAAGTTACTGCTTTGAATTTTGTGTGGATACAATTTCCTTAAATTGAAAAAACACGAAAAGTGTTTTTATTTGAGAATGCATAATGCTGTATATTTTCCTCTGTTTAACATCTGTGGTTGCACATGCATATTCAACGAGATAAATACGGTTCCAATTATTAAAAGCTAACCCTCCGGCAGTTGCCTAGCAGCGCTGAGTGCTCCACGAGCACTTTTGCATGACTGTAAGAGCTGTTTTGCACTGGGTGTAATAGAATTTATGGTATTCTTAGTTGACGATATCTGATAGCGGACTGCATTATCCGTTGCGGCATTTTCTCGGCGATCAGTCGTAAAAGAACTGGTGAACAACGTGTCAATACAGATTTCCTTGTTGATGCGCTCGCTCTTTAAAGAAAATTTTTCTTAACGTAGTGGGCAAATGTTGTAAATCATGTGCATGCACTTTGCTTATATACCAATAGGTCTAGAGTGTATTATATTATATACAATAAAACAATTTACAGATTTAGTGTATTATTTTTATACAAATGATCATAGATTCATAGTTTCTTTTATTTCTTCACGCTAGTAATCTTAGGTCTAAGTAACCATGAAGGGGTCCCATAGCCGTAAGTAATAAAACATTTCACTCCTGTAGGGATTTTAAAAATAGTAGTTTACGTAACAAGGGCGCGAAACATGTGATTCACGCACGAGTTTGTCATCCGAGCGCATAGCGAGAACGACACTGAAATGACTGCGGGCGTCACCTCGCGCCCGTTTTGTGTATACCATTTTTGAATTGCGCGGTGAGCGATGCGTCAAGTAAAGGATCGTAAATAAATACTAAATATCTGGAACTATCTTACTAGCGCATCAGTGAATGGATTTCAGTCAGTGTCGTAACAGTTTGTAAATAATAAACAAAGATGTCAAGAGGAAATATAGTTGTGAATCGTTACAGATGTTTCGCACACACTTCGCGATTTTTCGCACGTTGTGAAAAAAATTAGCTGTTTCACCCCACAGATAAAAGCACGAGAAACTGCGTTTCGCGCATGGTGTGTTAAAAAAACTATTTAATTTGGGTTGTTTGTACACAGCTGTGGTTATAAGGAACCGCAATTATTTTATTTCAGGTAAGTGATGCAAATATGGCCAGTGCAGGTAATAGTGGCTACATTGTTAGCTGAAAATTTTACCATAGATAGTTCTAGCATGCTGTCTAGGAGAGAGTAAGAAGTGCGTTAACCCCCTGCCAGGTTTGTTGACTCGCGCATTCGCATTCTGGAGCCTCCATTGTCAAGAACAGCTGAAGGCGTCTTATAACTTCTTTCCACGTAATTTTATCATTAGTTACACTTAAAGAACAATTTAGTATTTCGACAATATGCATTGTTTAGAACATATATAATTAGCAATCTAATCAGGTTAGTGCAGTTTACTTTGGTCAATATGCGGATGCAATGCGGATGAGATTTTATAACGTTTTTGCTGTCAATATGCCTAGGGCTGATGAGCATATTACCATATTAACTTCAAGTGTTTGATACACTAAGGTTTTTGTGTTTTATTTTGTAAAAAATGAATCTTGCAAAGAAAAGGGTTGTTTGGAGCCAAACAAATATTGAAAACAAAGCCAACAATCAACTCTCACGCTATTGTTTTAAAAAAGATTTATTTTAAACTCATATATCAGACGACGTTCAAAGCAATCCATCAACCTCCAGACAACATAAAAAAGTGGATCAGTCGGCAAACAAAAAGATAAAGACGTTCTTGTCAAGAAGAAACACGTTTACATCAAAAAAATCCAAGAAAAGATGTAAACACTGGAGGAAAGAATCCTGCAGAGAAAAATGGGAAAGCTTGTATTGTCATGTTGGCTGTGAGGAAGCAGTTCAGGACATGCGTTGATGCAGTGTGTGTGGAAAATATTTATAGAAGAAAGAGTAGAACTAAATATTAAAGACAAGTACTGGATTGTAGAAAATTCTGAATTTAATCCAACAATCCTTATATTACTGAAATCATGTCATGCCGTGTTTTCTTAAGTAAGACTAAGAGGATAATTCGTATTATATTTTAGTATAGCTAACCCTAGTTCTAAGAAGTTATAAGAAACCAGTTAATCTGGCAATGACCATAAGACCTGCATGTAGGCATATTACCTTCTTATTATAATGATTTTGTAAAAAACAACTAAATATTCCTGAATAAGGTTTTTTTGATCTATTGCATCTTGAAGCAAAATTGTTAAATTTCATCATGATGCTGATAATTTGGCCAAATGTTGAAATATATAAATAGAAAAATTTGAGGCGCTTAACGTGGCAATACCTTCACATACCTTTTAGGAAACAACGTTTTAAATATTTGAAGAAGAAACAGGAACATTAAATACAATAATTTTTCACAATAATTTGATTAATCCGTCAAATCCAGTAAATAAGGAACTTTATTTTACGACATTTGAGGAAGAGTCTCTCCACGTCTGGCAACAATTAAACCAAAAAGTTATAAATTAAACCTCTGTAATATGTTTTCTTTATATACACCTACAGCACGTCATATAGAACGTAAATAGTTCAATGGAAAAGGATCCCCAAATTTTTAATTCCCCTCCCCTTGTTGCGTACGTCTATGTTTCCAATAGATCTTCTCTGTTTTTCATTTCGTGGCGTAGCGTATCTCACGGGTGAGCGGTCGAGGGTTACATAGATAACTAGGTCAAATTCAGCCGTTCTGGGTGAGAATTCTAGCGGTCGGCGGCTCTGATAGGTTGTTTTCCGTAGTTTCTCCGATCAACAATAGGCGAATGTCGGAGCACTGTACCAACACATGAGCCACGACTGCGCGTGATGTTCTCTTCCTCTTCCTTTCTCTATTATCATCCCTTACATACACTTACATATACACTTATACATGCAGTACACTACCACTACACCGAAAGACCGGTTGGAAGCTTAGTTCTTATCCCGGCTGGGGTGGTGGCGGCGGCGGCGGCTGTGTCCCGCTGGCGGGAGATACCTGGTTGGGAAAACCTAGCAAGTCAACACTTATGTTGGCGCTGGATCTCTTCATCCAGCGGGGGAAGATAAGCACCACCTCCCGGAATTTAAAAAATGCACTACACTTACGTTACTAATGATCCTAGAAGTTGACTCGCCCGGAAATAATTCCCCGTAGTACGAGTACGATAGAATAAAGCATATGTGAATGCTATTTAATTTACAAAGTCTAATAGTTCAATTCTATATAGTATATTAATGAATATTTTCATCCATCACTAATCTGGCAATGAAATGTTTTTCAAAATGAGACACATTTATATTTTGAATACTTGTAAAGCCATGTTAGCGGGATCATAGAATAGTAGTGAATGAATACACATTGTACTATTGGTGTTCCGTGCAACCCTAGCTGCATCAGTCAATTGCAGCGTGCGTAACGAAATGAGTGCGGGCCCTCCCGCAAAACTTTGATTCGGGACCCGTTATAAATGTGTATAGAATATACAAGTAGTGTTAGTACCTTAAAAAATTAAAAATATCCTTTAACAGATTCAAATTCGTCAGTCTATAATTAATAACCAATAGTTGAAAAATCTGACTTTATTATTTAATTACGAAATTAATAAAATTAAGAATGCTATAAAACGCAAATGAATTGCTTACCTTTATTAATTTAGAAACAGTATTACATAAGCTACCGAAGCGGCAAGAAATCTTTCTGGAAGATGCTGTTTTTGATATTTTATATATCAACTATCGTAAAGTATCAGAGAATAAATCCAGTAATTGATATTTATCACAACCGCAAAATCCCCAGCCTGAGAGCAGGCCCGCATTGCCCGGCGGCGCGCCTCACCGAGCATCTTGACGACGGAGCGGCGGCCGGCGCTGCCGCCGCTGCCACTGCGCTGGTGCACCGCGCCGCGCAGTGCGTGGCCCCTGCGCGCGGGCCACCACAGCGCCGCCGCCATGCGCGTGTACAGCACCACCAGCGCCACCATCGGCAGCAGGAAGAAGAACAGCATGGACAGCTCGTACACAGGGTAGCTGTCGGGCACGTCCTCCTGCAGCATGGCGCAGAACGCCGAGTCGGCCACCAGCCGGCCCGACCCTGCGCCCCGCGCGACACGTCGGTGCCCTGCCTGTGCGACTCTTCGAGCTCTTTAAGCACTTACCGCGTTAGAAATAGTAATTTATTAGCACCAAGGGCGTTATAAGGAGTCTAATGAACTCGGGCTTTTTGTCGCCTCAGAGCATTCGAATCAGTTAACGCCGTTGGAACATACATAGTTCTATTTTTGACATAATTATATTGGTTCAGATTTACTTATTTACGAGATAACTGGATGTTAACTTGACTTGGTTTGTAGTTTTATATTTCCCTTCAATAATTCTCTTTCATAATTTCCTCTCGTAATTCCCTCCATAAGAGAAGATGAAGAGTCATTCAACTGTTTGCATATTTCCCTCGTAATCACTATTCTTTCCATCCAGATAATTTATGCAGTGTATATTGAACTCCGTACGAAAGGCAATAACACGCTATAAAGTATCAGTAAAAAATTAAGATTATTTTGAAGCCTCTAGAAAAATTGAATTTTTTTTGCAAGCATGGCAAGGATGATAACAGTTGGAGTTAGACAAAGTTAAAAGACGTGCCATGACAGCATATTATATACTCGTACTTAACGTTTAAATTATATTATTTTTATATATTATAGTTAACTCTTTTGCAATAGTCCTCGTTCATTGTCATTCCTGGTTCAAAACAAACAAGCAATCCAATCGCTGAAGGGGTCACGCCCGACTATAATGTCATTCTATTGATTCTTTATAAATTGAATTCACCATCACCACTTCGAGCTCAGTTACGCAGTAGTTCTGTGTGACAACTGTGCAGTGAAATAACTCATCTTTATATAGAGGCGAATGCAAGCAAACTAAACACATGCTTGCGGTTTTCGGCGAATAGAAGCTCATACTCATCTTTAAACAACCTTTTTAAATTAGGTAATAAATATTTAATACATATTTTTGTATTTTCAAATGTAATAGTTAATTTTGATTTTCATAATAGTATATTTAATATTTCATAGTTAATTTTGATATTCATTTCCAAAACGCAGTATGTTCAATGCTTAAAAATCATTAAGGGACCTCGTGGTTTTGTCTCGCGTAGGACAGCTTAAGGCATTAGTGCGGGCCTTCTCTATCGCTTGGCCTGGGTGTCTTATCTTTTACCCTCAGCAGCCGAAGTGCGAGTAATCCTCTAGCGGAGGGGAAGCAGTGGCACGGCGGAGAGAGGGGAAGATGCCACGCCCTGGTGGTTACCCAGCCCCGATGCCTCGTCCAGCACCGTGTCTTCTCGTGGTTCAGACCAGAGGGATGAACCACACCACTACTGGTGGGCGAACTACTTATCTGTCGAGGGGCGGGAGGTTAACAACAAATACCCTAGAGACAATACATGACACTTCACGTAACTGGACAACGCGTTAGAGCTAGCGCTCCTCTTGGCAGGATCTCACAGCTCGGTGCCAAATTAAAACATCAATGTAATTCTTACGGAATACTTATATTTTTATGGACATTTCAATAACGCTTATTTTCGCTTATTTTCTCTCGGGTCAGAGGTATTTAATTAATAAAATTATGATGTGCAAAGCTCATAAGCTCGAATGGCTGGGATTGTTAAGACAGTAGTGCCGTAGTGATCTCGGACCGAAGGATCACGGGTTCGAGTTCTGCCTCGGGGATGGTTGTATTCGTCATTTCACCCCTACCATAAACGTATCATTCCATCTTCACAGTTAACATACCTGTAAATGTAATAGTGGTCGGTAATGACCTAGATGTTGATGTAACCTTAAATAACAAAAAATATATCGCTGGAATCAATAAGTCAGTTATATTGAAAGACTTATATCCATCATCATCAGCACCTAGTGACGAAGAGCTCGAGTTTTCGCCTCCAGCAACGAAAAAATTCGATAAAGTTCTAGTCCTAGAATAAAACCTTTTTATAAGACACTAATATGTACTTGAGATCGAAACTAGCTTTCCATTTGATAACCAAGTACCTATTTATTTTACCAAACAAGTAATTAATTAAACTTATAAGTTTTATTTAAACAAGAATAAACGATGTGACACAAATGCAAGATTTTTCTGACTATAAGCATACATATGTTAGATTTTCTTATCTTCTTTTATTTTGTTTCTTTAAATATCACTGCATCACTGTAACGGATTGAGTTACATGTTTACATAGAGAGTGACAAATTATTTTCTGAAACATTTTCCGATTGAAGATTGATGGCTTGCAATAACCACCGTTTAACTTGAAGTTAAAATTGACGAAAACAAATAAAGACGTCTTGACTGGAAAAGTACTCAATCTTTGAACTGAAAATATTAGTTAACTCGTTTAGGTAAAAAGGGGGTATTTATATTATGATAAGTTAGAATACGAGATATTTTAAATTATGATTTTCGTCAACATTTGATAAAATATTTCTTCAGCTATCATATGTCAAGGTATTACATAACCAGCTACGTACATGACATTGTGTGTTTTCCTGAACTGATCCTTCAGGAATATATTTATGTAATCCATTTCTACAGTCTTTGATACATATGTCTCGATATGAAATGGCAAGATATATCACTTTACAATTTCAATTTATTAAGCAGAATGTTACTCACATCATTTCAAAATTTCCATCAATTGTACCAAAATTTCCATTATCACATCAAGTGTATTATTACCATCATCTAAAGGTAGCAATAATTGATGAGTCGTTAATTGTAGTGACTGCCAAAACTTATACTGATCAGATGACACGTTATAACAGACAAATTCGCTAAGTTTTTCAGCCATTTAAATGAATCGTGTAATAAAATAATTTCACTATAAATTAAAAGAAATCAAACTTGAATTGGAGCAGAACAGAACAGACAAACAGAAACAGAGCACTGAAAATAAAATGAACATATTCTGCAGAAGTCTGCATCTATAGATGCTACTTGCATAAGTGCTTCTTGTTTTATTGTCTCCACGATATTTGTTAATGTCTCGTTTGAATCCCGACACCAAGACACATCACCCATTTCACCAATATAGAGCTAATGAGACGTTAGGAAACGATGCGTCAAAATTAACGTCTCTCTTAAATTATGACTTGTTTCACCAACGAAAATCCGGCCTTATTTTAACTTGTTACAAAGTGTGTTAATTGGATGGTGTTGTGCAGAAACACATCAACCCAAGTTGAATGTTTTGAAAGAAAATAATACGTTTACATGTCTTTTCTACAGACATATTTTTGGTATTTTGTTGTACTTTGTACTTTTAGTAATGATGTAAAAACATTGATTTTTTGCGACACTTTAAAAGGTCGCGCGGTATTTTAAAAGGGTTACAATGGCGTTCAACCCTTTCACTCCCAGTGTTAATTATAATCAGCATGCCACTTTTAAATGTCAGTGAGTTTGGTGCTTAGGAGTGTTCTAGTAGTATAACTTACCAACATAACAATCGTTTAGTGCTAAACGTTGCAAATATATGCTACCAGAATGCCAGAACAATTACTGGGCGCGCACGAACGCGAGAATAGGTGAGTGCTATGTCATGAATTTGAATACAGTGTCATGAATGCAAAGGAAAAACTTTTAACTCATTTGTTTCAAAACTGACTTTTTTGTACAATATTCCAATTTTCTCAAAAACTGTACATCCAAAAACAATGGTTTTTACTGTACTATTATAGTGATATCTACTGAGTTTGTGTACATTTTTTCGTGCAAAAATGGCATTCTAATGAAATATAAATTGACAAAAATGCAATAAAAAGTGCACTCAATTAGTATTATTTTAAAGCGTTATATTTATTGATAAGTATCTGAAACAAACTCAGTAAATGTTATTTTCTGAATAAATTTATCAGTACGTAAATCAGAACAGAAAATCTTTCTTTCTTTCTTTCTTTCTTTCTTTCTTTCTTCTTTTCTTTCTTTCTTTCTTTCTTTCTTTCTTTCTTTCTTTCTTTCTTTCTTTCTTTCTTTCGAAGCGAAGGAACGAAACTTTTTTCAGACGAAAAAAGCAAACTGTTTCACACACGAAAAACAAGCACGAGAAACTGTGTTTCGTGCACTACGTATTAAATAGTCTTTACTAAAAAAAGCGAATTCAACAATATATAATCGACATCGATGCTATCGAAAGAGTGTATGAGTAGGTACGAAATATTTACAGGTTCGTCTTCAGGTTTTAACGCAGTGTCCTTGCAAAATTTGGCAGAGATAATACAAAACAAATGCAGAAAATAAATAATTTAGATAATACGCTTGAAGATGAACCACGATCATTATGTTTCGCCTGTCGCTAAGAGACAGGTTCCAAATATACTCCGCCAGAGACCCGTGTGATAGATCCGTGTGCCGGATCTCCATGAAAGATGACACATCTACGTCATTTTTCACGCAGAAGGATTCTGTTCTCTTATTTTTTTGTAACTGTACTAAATAGCACTACAGCACAAGATTGCGCTTAATTTTAATTCAGTTTCCATTAAAATTTAACTTTATTTGAGCTTCATTGTTGCCGTGTGACGCAGGACGAGGCCGAGGAGGACAGAACGGGCAGCACGAGAGAGGGAGAGACAGACTCAGAGAGAGTCAGGGACAGAGACAAAAAGACAGATAGTCGGGGTCAGGGAGAGGAACAGAGAGACAGGGACAGAGAGAAACAGACACACCGAGAGGCAGACAGAGACAGAAAGAGAGACAGAGAAGAACAGAGTCAAAGACAGAGAGACAGAGACGCAGGGAGAAAGAGAAAAACAGAGAAAGACAGATACTGACATACAGACAGACCGGCGTACAGACAGAGATAGAGACCGACAGAGACAGGAACAGAGAGAGACAGAGGCAGGTGCAAAGAGAGAAACAGACAGAAAGAGACAGAGAGAAACAGAGACAAAGAGAGACGCATGTAGAAAGACAAAGTGAAAAAGAGAGAGAGAAACAGACAGACAGAGACATACAGAGGCAGAGAAACAGAGAGAGATAGACGCAGAGAGAAATACAGAGACAGAGAGGAACGGAGAGAGAGAGAGAGAGAGAGGAAGTCACAGAGGCAGGGGCATAGAGACAGGCAGAGAGAGACGAAGAGCGAGATAAAAGAGAGAGAGAGAGAGATGGACTGACAAAAGAGAGAGAGAGGAGAGACAAAAAGAGATGGTAGGAGACAAAGGGAGGAGGAGGGAGATGAAGAGCAGGACGTCTGCCGGATTCTGCTAGTAGTATGTATTACTAGGCACGACACTTGATGTTACCATCACTAGATGGGAAAGTTTCCAGAGTAGGCTGATAGGCTGATTCTAGAAATTCCGTCATGTTACGAAAAATAACATTTGTCATGAAATGTACGAAAATATTATATTCAAGACATCAACTTAAGGTTAATTTTTTGGGGTGATTTACACATTTAACTGACGATCACCAGAACATACTATATACTTTTCCATTCGGAGGTTTGTTAGGTTTTTTTGTTTTCTAATTGTTATACTTTCAGTAGCACAAGTACTGAAAGTACTTTTGTTTCCCAGATGATATTGATAAAAGTTGAACTTTCATTTCTGAATATGCGTCACTTCTTAGCAGTCTTGTATAATACTTATAATGTGAGTAGTAAACATGGCATTTTATTTTGCAAGTAGAAAAGGTTGCGACTCGAAGCGGAAAGGCCAAGTGGCGCAATCATACGAGCAAAATCAAATCATTTACCACGTGTGTCATACACTATTTGTTAGACAGCCTGGATTTTCTTTTATTTTGATTACTTAAGTACTATGTTACATTAAAATCAATTGAAGCTGATCAGACGAAAGCGTCTCTATTCAAACAATGGAACTTGTAGTACATTGTGTATGCCCTAAAAGAAACCCTCTTTTATTAGTGGCTATCTAAAACTATTGTGTTAGCTGGTCGGGGAGGCTTCGCTTTACCTGGCGGGAACTCCAAGTAGGAGACCTTGGTGTACGCGCCGAAGGGGGCGGCCGCGCCCAACGCCACCAGCCAGATGGAGCCGATGACGAGCAGCGCGCGCCGCAGCCCCTTCATGCTGTAGGCGTACAGCGGGTGGCAGATGGCCAGGTAGCGCTCCGTGGAGAACGCCACGATGGTCAGCACCGACGTGTACGACACCCTGCGCGCGCCGCCCGCGCAACAAGAGGCCGACAGTTAGTAGGAAAATAACAACTAAATTCTGATTTTCGCTCATGCGCCAGCTTCAACAAACGGAAGCCCTCGCCCCGCCTGGCGTTCCATCTAATAATCACCAGTAGTATAGAAAGAGGGCGTGCTGGCTCATATTTTGACAATGCCATTAACATACCAATTTTTACAATTTTAACCACATTTGCATGATATTTTTATACATTTTCGAATTTTTGTACAATATTTCCATAATTTTATTCATTTTGTTTCATTTTTTTCAACGATGAATTATGTTTATTGGCGTTGAGGTCTGTTGAAATACCTAGCTCACATTTCCTCAACACCAAAATCAATACAATTGTTGGTACATGGGCCGCCGAATTAATTCATATTTGCCGGCAGGTTTCGAATATATCAGTTTCGCTACTCTTTAAAGGCATTTAAGAAGAAAATGTTATACGTTTCAAACTTCCCGCCTTCGTGTAATTTTGCTCAAAACCCCCGCGATTTATTTCCTAATTGACAAAAAACTCATTTTTGTACAAAGCTCTCTGAAAATGTCTTTTAACTGCTTCGAAAAATCACCAATAGGATGCACCACCTTCCGGGCGGCCACGACGAAAAATTTTCTCATTGTCAAGATTTCTCGGATTCCAGTTTTTTTCCACATCAGACGCGACGAGCTCACATTGTTTGCGAATCAGAGTAGCCGCGACCATTTTTGTATCGATCGAGTCGAGAAGCTAAGCAATACGCGTATGGGGCGAATTGAAAGTTAATGGTACGTTGGGCGCGAGCTATTATCGTGTAGTTTCTTTGAACCAGCACTCTGAGATGCGGTGAGGAAAGCAGAAAGCATAATGAGGTGAAATTCGAAAGGAGAACGTTTATTTTTATCCAGAGGGAGGTAACCATGACAATCTCTTCAATACCCGTTTATTCCTACGGCAAAGTAATTATGTTTGTCAATTATGAGTCGCTTTTTTTCAGAATTCTCTCGGATAGTGAGAACACACAATTCGATGCAGTTTGCTAATGCTCCCCCAATCATCTAAGCAATATTTCGCAGCCTCAACAATGAGTATTTAAGAATTCCCATTCGAAAAATTGTGGGATTGAGATAAAAAAAATTATTTTAAAACTGATAATATAGGGAAAAGCATCTAAAGACATTAAAAAACGAAATATAGATAAAATGATATTTGATATGTATAAACATTGCTTATTCAATGCTGTAGAGACGTATGAAGATGTGTTTAATACTGTATCAAATGAATATACATTATGTTCAACGAAAAATAGAAAAATTGTACTCTTTTCATATGAAGATAGTACATATATAATAGATAATTTGCATACATTACCCTATAGACATAAGATGAAATAAAATATTAACTTAAGTATAATTTATGTACATCTCTTTTTATATATTTATTTAAATAACCTCTACACACTATGTATCCACAGGAAGATTTAACTTTACTCAGAAAATTTGTTTTGAAGTCCTTACATTTGGAAGTGTGACCATCAGTCGTTTTTGATTATTATAAAATTTATTTAATTCCATCTCAATATGTCATACACTATTTTTTAAATTAATTTAATTTCTTTTGATGTGTGTCTGTTTGTTGATATTATGATAAATAATTTTAATCACTGTATCTCCACATTCTCATACTGTTTTCTCTCGCAATTTCTCTTAATTTTTTATATAGTACGTTTTATGATACGATACCATAATTGATATATAAACTTGTTATTCTACAGAAGAGCACATACATTACATTTCTATTTTCATTGCTCTGGGCTAGATATTCTCACTTGTTCCATCCTCTTTCCAGCTGCCATCTGTCGACGCGGAAAGTTCATTTAAAAAAAATTGTCACAATTTTCTATTAGTAGAATCGAATTATTACTTTAATAATACTAAAGAAGAGTAAAATCTCCTCCTAAATGGCAATTTTTCAATTAAAAGTTTGGAGCCGTTTATAAGAAAATGGAGTTTAAATGTTACTGTGAATGCGAAATTTAAACATTTTTTCACAAAAAAGTATTGAGTTTTCGAAAAGCATTACCTAAAGTAATTTGAAGCATTTAGAGTCACAAATGCAACAGTGTTTACAAATAACTGGAAATATGAATATGAAAGGCGTGAGAGGTATTTCAAACAAAATTACATTTGCGTAATTTGTAAAAACACAAAAGATTCAGAAAAATTAATTCTTGGTCATCATAAACAGTGGAATCAGTACTATCTCTTGAAAAAAGTTTGAAGAAAAAATTTGGAGCAATTTTTGAGAAAATGGCGTTTGAATGTCGACATTTGAGACCATTTTAACAGAAAACAGTTTTGACTTTTCGAGAAAATTTATATTACAGTATTTAAAGCACATGCACTTACAAATTCATTAACGTGAAGAAATTGCCCCTAATATAAATATTAAGAACGTGAAAGACAAGTAAAAATTACAATTTTGTATTTTTTCGAAAAATCAATAGAGTAATATGGCTTTTACATCTTCTAGAGTGCATTTAGTATTATACCATCCAAAAGTTTAAAGAAAAAAATTGGATCTGTTTTTAGACAACCTTGTATTTGTAATATTTTAAAATTGCACAAATCAAATGCAATATTGCGCGAAAACTACTAAAAGTTTCAAAAAATATACATGATCTTAATAAAAGAGCAAATTATGGACAAAATATTATTTAAAGAAAAAATCTCTCTCTTTAATTTTGTATTTGTAGGAATACCCCGAAAAAATGTAAACTTTTGAAATTTTCGACAATTTACGAATAGGGTTTAAGTACCCTTGTAAGACCAGCGTTGGAGGTGCCATGTACCGAGTGCGCCTACATACAGGGATCAGAGCGGTATTTAGGGGATTGTTTCGTTTTTGAGGTAAATTAAAAGGCAATGTACACTTATAAATTAATTGAAGTTTAATTTTGATGTATACAATAGAATAAAATTAATTAATAGTAAGCTGGAAAATCACCGAAAGTTTGTACGTTTGTTTTTTCTTCTTTCCTGAGGTCAAATTTACTCAACTCACAGTTTGTTGTGCTGCTATCATCAACCCAAATCAGACGGCTGAGGGTGTGGGAAATGGGTTCTCACGCGCAATCGATCTTTATAAATGAGGTCTCTAAAGGAAGATAATTTCACGGAGATGTGACGAATTACACATTGACTAAAAATATGAAGGATTTGTTTTACAAAACCCATCTAAATATTCATGTCAAATGCAACCCGCAGCACTCAGACAGTTATATCGTTATATAACTCCTAAACGAAGCATTCTGGGGCTTAAAAACTAAGATTTTTGAGGTCAAAGTCTTTAAAGAAACGTTTCCCATACCATAATCTACACGATGAGATACTTTTGAACATTTTATAAAATTTTTGCTGGTTCGGCACTCATCGATTATATCAATGCCACCGAAAATCAAATCTTGGTGATGATGGCCATCTTAGTGACGTCACACTTAGAAGGCGTAGCTTTCTCAATCTTATTCTATTTATGCTTTCTGTATAAACTGTGGTTCGCGAAGACTGCCGAGGTTTGTTTGCATAATTATTAGTTCAGAATTCGCTCTCGCAGAAACAACTAGAAGTACTATTAATAGTTGCTTGATATCGATGAAGATTATTTCTTATGCGCGTAGTGAAAGCATTCATTTATCGTTTTTACGGGATATACAAGAGTTGTGTTCCTAATTGTGTAAGGATGTGAGTATACAGTGAAGAGTGAAGACGTATCTTGTTAGGTTTGGTTTGGTTTGTGTTTTACCTATATTTCATCTGCAGTAATTCGGTGAAACATTCAACACAGCATGTTGAGTCACATAGCTTTCTTAAGAGTAAAAAGTTTAAAAAAAGTATTTTTGTGACTAACACGAAAAGCAAAAGGCTAATTGTCAAAGATTTTCAAATACTTTTAAGAAAGTGTTGTGAATTGTTTCAAGAAATCTCTCGATAATACTCAATAATTTTTTTTGAAAATTAATTTTGCATGGTTTTTTATTTTTATTTGATATTGTGTTAGGGCATTGAAAGTTACCTTATACATTTTAAAATAAATAAGTACGTTTATTTAACAACTTTCCCTCTTTGAATGGAAATATAAAGATAGGGAAGATTATGAGGCTTAACACGTGAGAGTTCTCCCAAGGGTTACCAGAGATAGTTGCGGAAAACGTGTACTATGACACAACAGAAAGAACGAACTTTTTAAATCAACTAAAGTAAAATAGCTTGAAAGAAATAAACAACAAAAATCAAAACACACTAGCCTACAATACTACGTCAATAAATTTAAAAAGGCAAAAAAATTTAAAATTACAGAAAGAATAGCACAAGTCGCTTGACGCGCAATTGCATCAATCCGTATGCACGATTTAAATGTTGGTGGTTTATGAAAGTCTGTGCATCAGTGCCCAGATGTAAACCCATATTGTAAATAATACACCTTTTGATAATAAATATAAGGTGTTAGCTTATGTTCCTCATAAATCAAGGAAAGTTAAATACTATTGCAAAGGGGGTAGTATGGCTGTACCGATCCTGTATTTTAGCATTGAAAACTTAACTTGGCGTCCTCATGGGTAAAATTTTTTTCTAATATTTTTGTGACTATCAAGGAAAGTGAAAAGCCAACTGTCAAGGAAGGTTGAATAATTACTTCAAATGTTTTTAAGGTAGTGTGAATTTTTCGAAGAACATATCTCTATAACACTGAATAAACCTTTATTGAAAATTTGTTTCCAACATGAATAGCATTGTTTTTATTTGCGTTTGATATTCTGTAAGTACAAATTTACATTTACCGCTGTATCTTGAAGACATTGTTTTGTAACCTGTTCGTCTTGTATATAACATGAATAAATGTATATGTGTGATTGATCAGTGTTTCACAAACTAGTAGCAAGACATAACACACTATTATATTTCATAAGACCGATATTCGAGATGTTATTGTAGCAGTC